GGGGGCGCTGCCGGGGCGGGGGATGGGCGGACGCAGGTGTAACTTGTGCAAGGCTCGGGGCGCGCTGCTCCTGATGTGTTTGTTTTACCTTTTTGCCATCCTATCTGTGTGCTCCGGTCGGTATGCCCGCCGCCATTTCCGACACGAAAGGGAAGCTGGGGTTCCTTGCTCCCTCCTCGCGGGCGAGCTGGCGGGGGTGTGGGTGTGGGGCAGGGTGCGGCGGCGTTGCCCGGGAGCGTAGGCGCTGCCGCCCGACGATTTGTTGAATGTTTGTTGCTCGCCGCACCTCAGCACCTGAGCCGCCCCTCTGGGCGCCCATAATATGCGGAGGAGCCGGGCTTATAGTGATTAGCTCTGGTGCACGCCAAACCTTCCCCCGGACCGCTCTGCCATGCCATGCGGCTGCTCCCTGCGGAGCAGGATGGAATTTATATTTGTCCCCGCGTTTTGTATGGATCGACCGGGATCGACTGCGTGTTGGCGTGTACTATTACCGCAGAAAGAATTGAACCGTCACTGCTAGGAATATAGGTATCAGAGGGGTTCAATTCTTTTCGCGGTGAAAGGATGACGGTTGGTGAAATATGCCATACACGCCTACGGATGAGGAAAAAGGGAAAACTTTGAGGAACTCCCCCGGTTTGACAAAAACTCCTCAGATTTCGAGGAAGTCTCAAAAGATGTGGGACTTTTCTTCATTTTTGAGAAGATTCCTCAAAATCTAAGGCGAGATCGGAGAACTCTTCTTCCTTTAACATGAGAGTTCCTCAAAGTTTTCCCTTTCTCCTCAAAAAAGAAGGACGGCTAACTTTTTGCAGCTCCATCCTTTCAGAAATTGCGTCCGCCTCACCTCAATGTGTGAACAGTGCTAAGAGGTGAAGGAGCGGGGGTTAATTCCTCATTTCCCCTGCGACACGGGTTCATGCCGGTCCATGACCTGGGCGGGCGCCCAGGGGGGTGCGTTCCCTGGCGCTGGCGCCCTTCGGGGGCCTAAATGGGGGGCCTGACGGATCTGGCCATTCCGGGGATGGCCGCGGGCGTATGGGCCAACGGTCCACGAGGTAACCGAGCACTCGCTAGGAACTCTTCAGGCACTCGTCAGGAACATTTTTGCCGTGCTCGCGGGCAGGTGTCAGACACTTGTCCAGGCACTTGTCAGGAACTTGCCAGAATCTTTTCCAAGCACTCGCCAGGCACTTGCCAGGAAATGGCCACTCTCCGTGACCACACAGGGTTGCGGCGCAGCGGATAAACACTGGAGCGAGTGTAGGTGTGTGTACGCTTTGGTGCTCTTCGCCGGAGGCTCGCACGCATCACGTTGCTAATCCAGCTGGTGAAGGGGATCAGACAGACGTTGTTGGGGAGGGCAAGGGGGCGGGCAGAAGGGGTTGTTGTACTGTTTGGGCCGGGAGCACAAGCGCAGCCGTGCAGCTCAAAGACCAACGAAAGTAATTACTGTGGGAGGGAGATGCACTCGATGTGACCGGGAGAGGGGCGGGCGCTGCGCTTTTATCCCGCGCGTACACACTTTTATCGTTGCAAACATTGTTCTCGTATCGGCGCATGCGGCCGTCCACAGTGATGCAAGTGGGGGATGCCAGGTGGCTGGGAGAGGGGGA